TTCATGTTGTGTTGGAAGAAGCATTTTCTGCAATATGACTTTGATGCAACCAGGTGAAATGAGGTGTCTAGAGCAAGGCTGGGATTCATTTATGCTGGAAAATCAAAACAAAGCTCAAAATATACAAAGTCATTCAAAGCGAGTACAATTGAGAACTTGGAGTTACCCCAGTGCCAAAATTGCACTTTTAATTTTTAATGAAAAGCTACTTTCAGAATGAGCACAGACAAGACCAGTCACAAACCACGTAACACTCGCTGCTTAGCAAAGGTGCAAAATAACCACATAAGATGTACTGCGGAGACAAACGACTGGATCAGACTCAGCAAGCTGTCCTACAGGAATGCGAGCACTGCTCTTCCTTTGGGGAGAAAGTACAGATATTTTGCAGTATGTTTATGCCAACTGAATGAGCTTCAGTTTCTTCATCACACAGTATGCTGCATCTAAGCTAGGGGATAGGTTAAAAATCTGTTTTGGGACAAGAAGTGAGACAACAAGAAGAAAAAAGTATTTTGGAAAGGGAAGGAACATCCCACTCATCCCACTGATAACAAACATTATCTTGTCTAACAGGAGCTTACTACTGCTAGTCTATTGTGTCCCCAGCTGGTTAGGACTTTGTTTCGGAGGTTTGGTCCATGGGATGCCACTTCTGAAACAAGGACACGGTGACCTTCATAATGTCTGATGGGCCAGAGAAGTTTGGCTGTGAGAGAAAGCTTATTCAAGATTAAAGAGAAAGTGAAGCTCCTAAACATGGAAGACTATAACATTTTTAAATACTTCCTACCTTTGTTGTCTGAAGTTCAACTCACATGTGCAAGAAAAACACCAGAACTTTATTTAAATTCACATTTCTGGCTTGATGGCTACATTTGCTGGAACTTTTATAAAATTACCTTGTGCGGATGTCATTGCAGAGAAAGACACAGTGTCCATGTCACCACTGTGTCAGTATGGGGCAGTCCTGGTGGCTGAAATAGCATGACATGAAACAGCCACAGGATAACAGAAGCTAACCACATCAGGTGGTATTCTCCACCAGGACCCGGTTACCCACTGGTGTGCAGTAATATGAGGGTGAACCCATGCTGCAACAACTCACCCTTTCCAACTACAGAAAGAACACCATCTGCAATGACAACCTACTTTTAATTAAACCCTTCTCCCTCCATTCTCGTTTCAGTCATAGCTTGTGCAACCCAGACTGAAATATTACATCAGCAAAGATCTCCACATCAACAAAATACCTGTGAGGCAGTCAGTCCATTCATTAGTCACCACCATTCCCCAGTCTTAGGGAAATCATTGGTGCCTTCTCTGATACCAGCACAAGGATTTACTTTTCATGATTATTGGCAGATTTTGAATCAAAAGCTTCAGGCTTACTGCAGCAATTAAACGCATGAATCATGTATTCACTCATTTGGAAATACGGTCACCAAGACTGTAAAAGGTGCATTGCAAGGAGAAAATCTGTCCCAGGTGCCACGGGACAGATTTGTTACCCAGGCTGGTTACAAATACACCTGAGTTCCTCCTGTGGCATCACCCAAGACTCATACCCCTCTCCTCCTCCTCGTCTAAAGTGACTGCCGGATTCCCACCGGTGACACTGCTGCTGTGCATCCTCCTCCCTGGGACTCCTAGCAGGACTGGGAAGGCGGCTGCTTGCCTTTCCCACCCTTGCTTTTACAACCCCATCCCACTGTGGGAGGACCTATGGAGCAATAAATGCATGGCCTGCCCACCCCCCAGGGCCTGGAGGGCTGGTTGTGTTGTTAAGAGGAGAGGCAGAAATGCCTCCATCCCCATGCTGAAAACCCATTATGGTCACGAGGTTTTAAGTGTGTACTGCTATGCAGGCTGAAGAGGAATTAGTGCAGCTGGATTTGGAAGGACAAAGAAAACTGGTGTTCTACTATGATCGATGGTCATTGATCTGACGCTAATTAGTAAAGAAAAAGTCTTTTAAAATACTGAAATTGCATATAATTGCTTGATTATTCATTCTAGCTTAGTCCTGGTTCCTTGACGCATTTGACCCAACTTCTAGCAAATATTTCTCATTAAGCAATACTAATATATTTATAACACAGTGAAAGGTAAGAAACCAACCAAAGTTGCCACCTCCTTCTCCTATCATTGTTTGGCTTAGCACTGTGCTTTGCATGAGGAGATGCTTTGCATGAGAAGCTTTGTATGAGCTTTGGGATTTGGATCCCTAATGTCGTCTCATCTAATATAAACATCTAAAAACCTCTAATCTTTTCTTTAATAAAGCTTCTTACAGACCTCTCAGAGCTCATTGTGTCTTATGAAAGTGAGTTCCCTGAGTCAGTTTCCTGTGTGAAACAAAATTTTCTTTAACAGATCACAGTGCCCTCTTTTCTACTCTCTGAAATTTTCTGATGTTGGTTTCTGTATGAATGAGTTCTTAGAACGCCTCCTTAACCTGGCCTGTGGTCTCCTTTCACACGGTTCTACTGCCTCTCTCTTACCCATTTCCTTTGTAGCCAGCCCCAACCTTTACAATTCTTCATTGAAATGGACAGTGCATGGAAATGATACACCTCAGAGCAGTGGGCACAATGGTATTCACAACCCTCTCGTGAGGCCAATGATTATTGCATGTAGTGGCTGTCTCAGACAAATATCTGAACCTGAATGACCATGGTGTTCCTGTCCTCATGAAAAGATCTTTCTTCCCCATCTCTCTTAGCCCACCCCCCCTCAAAACCTCAGAACTTCAAAATGCAAGAATGGGATAGGAAAAGTGGTGAAACCAGAAACAAGGAGGACCCAGTAACTGGACCTCCCTCCATTTTCCACACCCAACTCAGCTAAAAGAGGCTCTGCAAGCTCTGCGCTGTGGGTCTGCTCTAGCTAACAAGGGTCTGTGGAAGGTGTTGAGCCCCTGCAGAAGAGAAGCTCGTATGATGGGGATCAACTGATTAGGTAGAGAAGTGGCAAAGGTCAAAGCACCATTGCTGTAAGAATCAGCTGAAGCAGACAAGGCAGGTAGTAAAAATGAAATCCTTGAAAGTGGTATGTTTTAAGTAGGCTAAATTTCTCACGGGGTCTCAAGAGGCATATAGTTGGAAAGGGGAGCTCTGCAAAGTTGTAAATTCCAGAAATAAGTGAAAGACAAAAACCAAAACAAAACTCCAAAACCTTTCCTTCGAGCCGGAATTGAACCAGCGACCTAAGGATTACTTTCTACAAGCAGCCTACAGTCCTCCGCTCTACCAGCTGAGCTATCGAAGGAAGATGAAGAAGGGTTGCCAAGAATGAGTCAAGACTGTATCAACAATAGCCTTAGGCTCTAATGGGTTTCCATATGTATTGCTTTTCACAACAGCAAAACAGTATCCAAAAAAAAAAGACACAAAGCTAACTTCCCTGCAAAATTGGATTTTGGTTACAAAACTGCCAGTTTTCTGCCAAATAGTTCACAGCTCTTGTAAGACTGTTGGTGGTGGTAACATTAAGGTTGGAGTTCCTGTGATGGCCCATATGAAATCTATCTACTGTTTGACAAAGAAATTTGCCCGCTCTTCTGTGACCTTGCCACATTTCCTAAGCAGAGCTAGGAGAAGAGGACAACTCCCCTCCACACAATTCCCCACAACAGTTCTCCGGCCAAGTCCAATAACAAATCAGCAAACAAATCAGTTAGCACGCTCCCCAACAGCTTCCACAGCGAATGTAGAGGAATGAAGGAAAAGGAGGGGAAGGAATAACCATTGAGATTTTAATTCTAATCCCATCAACTCCCACGGTGCATGTGAGACCCCTGGTACACAGATGAGGTTGCAATATCTGGCATTTGCAACCAGTGGCCTCCCCAACCCCTGGGCCTGGGAGGCCGAGCCCTTTGTGAATCATCTGCATGAGTGCCGCAGCTCACAGCTCTGGCAATTGAAAGCAAACTACTCTCTTTTTGAATTACAGTGATTCACAAGCATCTCCGCTGTCTGAGCAGCAGGGTGGGGCGGTAAGCTGTGAGCAGACACCCTGTTTGCCGAAACCACGCCATCCTACTTGCCATCCTACTTGCGATGGGAGTGTGTGTAGCAGTGTTACCTCAGTGCCCTACAGCATATCCATCCTCAACCCATGCTTACCGCCACCTCCTCCTTATGATTCAACCCCAAACACTGGGCTGTTTCAGCAAGCACGTAGCCAGCAGGTTGAGGAAAGTGATTATTCCTCTGTATTCAGCACTTAAGAGCTTGCATTGGGAATGCTGTGTCCTGCCTTAGCTCCCTGGTACAAGACAGCTGAGGACATACTGGAGCAAATGCAGTGGAGGGCCACCAACGTGGCCAGGGGGCTGGAGCGCACGATGTAGGAGGGGAGGCAGAGAGAGCTGGGCTTGTTCAGCCTTAAGAAGAGACGGGTAAAGGGGGATCATACTGCAGTCTGCAACTACCAAATGAGAGAGGATGGGGAAGGCAGGGCCACGCTCTGCTTGGGGGTGCACAGTGAGAGGACGGGAGGCAACAGGCACAAGCTGACGCCAGAGAAATTTTGATGAGATATAAGGGGAGAAAAATACCATGAGAGTAAAAATTTTCACGATTGCAAAGGTTGCCCGGGGAGTGGAATCTCCACCCATGGAGATACTCAAAGCTTGTCTGGACACAGCTCTGAGCAACCTGACCTAACTTAAAAGTCTACCCTGTCTGGAACAAGAGGTTGGACCAGATGGTCTCCAGAGGTTTTTGGCAAACATACACCAAAGTGACCCCCACATCAGGAAGGTAACTTCACAGAGTAGATGAACTCACAGCAAAACTACTTCTCTGCCTCGAAAATACAGCTCTTTGTCTCACAATCAAAGTCCCACACACATTTTATTTATTTTCGTACTAAAAGATAACTTAAGCCTCCTCTACTGCTAAAAGCAGCACAGATCTTGATAGAAATTCAGTAGGATGTATCCCTGGTTTTGTTCATGGGAATATAGGAAGGTCAGGAAATATTTGACTTACCTACAAGGTACGTTGCAGCTTCTCAGAAGGCCTAATCCTGGGACCTGTGATCTGTCATGACATTCATGTACCCACCAACGACTATCAGGTCAGCTGATGCTGTAAAGAAAAACATAGGATGGTTAGAAACAGAACTGCTGTGTGCCTGTCAGGGCAATATCTGCACTCTCTGGGGTCAGATGGTCTTGGTGGGAGGAGGTCCCCGAGATACCCATATGCAAGAATGTGAAGTTAATCTTCTGCTGGAGTAAGAATGGCACAACAGATAACATGGACCCAAGCTCCTAAATCAGAGCAGATAGCAGGGCTCTAATCTTTTCCAGTTTGCAGACCCCACAGTATTTTCCAGAGGCACTTCAGGCTCCTTTCAAACCAGTTTAAGCCTATTGTCATGAGTCTGCCTTATCTGAGTTACCTTTCACAGACCCCTTAAAAATAATTCGCTAGTCCCACCCGTGCATTCAAGGACACCAATACTGAAAATCACTGCTCTATCCAGTTTAACTCATTCGCACTGTCATCTAATCCAGTGGTGAGGTACCAAATACAGACTTCAGGGGAAGTATCACCATCTCTTTGCTGTCAAAAGTTGTTACTGGTGAAGATAACCCTAAACAACTTGTACTTTCCTGTAAGAAATCAGTAGCAGTTAAGTCAAGATAAAAATTCAAATGAAATCAGATAAAAAGTGGATGCTGTTACTATCTATGCATGAACAAATGGGATGCAGAAACCACGGTGTTGCCTTGACAATAAAAAGCATTGGAGTTCTCTTTTTGTGGAACTTGCTAGCAGTGATGTATGGGTGATTTGTGAGAGATATTCTCCTAAACTACAAATGTACCCCCCAGGGCAGCTTTTCAAAGTAGATATTCCTAGGAAAATATTAATTAATTTTTTTCCTTGATTTTTTGAACTTGGTAAGCTTTGAATGCTTAACAGAATTAAATTTTGGCATGGAGTTCATGAAAGATCTCTGATTATTTCGATTCTTTTAACTGATTAAATGAAGATACCAAGCTTTGAGAGCCATGTGACTGGAGCCCTGAGCTATATAAAGGGAACAGCTCACCTGTTTCATGTGGTGTAGAATAAGATGAAAGGAAAGGATGTAGCTTGAAAGCAGGATGGAGAACAGCCAGAGGTAAAGCTACTAATAGCTGGACTGTATAATTACACTTGGTAATGCTATGTGTTTTGTTAAGCTCAGATTAGCATATGATGGTCTCCAGTGTTTTGTATACTTACAGACCGACTTTCTAACATGGCTTTAGATGATTTAAAGGGTTTTTTCCAGTGAAAAGCTTTAAAAAATCTGGTTGATTCTGAGGGACTTGGGGGGATTGTTTTCTTTTCTTTTGAGGTGGAAATACGCACATGCTCTGAATATGAGCAATAGATTGGACTCGCAATGAATCTGTGAAATCTTTGTGTTCACTTTAATTCCACCCGGTGTGTGTTACACACCACTGGTTGGCTGCTGTGGCTTCTGCACCACCAGCTAGTGATGAACTCAGGATATCTCAATCTGGGAGTCTCCTGTGATACCCCTGCAACAGAGGAGGAGGTTTTGCTAAAGACTGCTGCTCACAGCAACTTGAATGGAGAGTCTGAAGCATCAGCGAAACAATCATCTCCCTCTGTCTACCTGTTAAAATTCAAGATAGAAATCTCTTTGGGCCGGACTATCTTTGTACTTAAAGGCTGAATAGCAGCTGGCACAACAGACCCCCAGCCCTGTCTGATGCCCCCAGGCTCTGTTGTGATGTAAATAATATGTACGACTCCTTGGGCCAGCTTCAGAGACAACTTTAATAATGTGTCAGCGCGAATGAATGCCAAGGGGCAGAAAGGTGGGAATGCAGAAAGAGAAGAATCGGGAGAGAGTACACGAAGGTTTCATACAAAGGAAGTCTGAATGCATGGCACAGTGTGGGCTGCATTTCAGGAAACACAGAGTTTATAGGCCATTACTACACCTATCAGTTTTTGTCGTGCTCAGAGAACCTGCTTAACGCTTCTGATGCTGCACCGTTATCAGTAACAGACATCCAGAGGAAAAGTATCCTTCGAGTATTCAAAGCCTAAGCTGTATATGCTTACCCACAGATATACCTAGCTTCATTTTGCTACATAACAACCTTATAGGTCTGGGATGGCTTCTAAGATAAAAATATTTTCTTTACAGCTAAATTATTTTAATTCATTTTTCTTCATATATATGACCAGTTCCATAAGCAATTAAAACACAGACACTGAAGACTCACGGCAGTGCTTGGACATCAGATTCAGATTGCACAACCCTCTTCAGGCAAACAGTTTAGCACCAGCAGCGATTACACAAGTGCCTGAGAGCTCATCCCATCAGTGGGCATGGAAAGGAATAGCCTCCATGTAATTGTCAACCTATTCTTCAACAAGTTAAACATTTGGCCCTGTTAAGTCAAGATGAGAAATGCAGTGAGTAGCATTCCCATCTTCTCTCCCACAAAGGGTTCCAAGTCTTGCCCTTCTCCTGGTGAAAGACAAGACCAATAACATGTGAGCTGTTCTGAGATGATGATCAGTGCAGAAAGTTTTGATAATTGGGTGGCAATTAACCACAGTCGGGACATGACGTTATTCAGATACAATGGACTAGCTCCTAGCCGTTGTAAATAATCAGTCATCAGAGAGCCTGACCCCTATGTAGTTTAGCTTAAGTTTCCATTCAACAAGTACCACATTGGACTTTTTTTGTTTAAGCAAAAGCTCAGCTAATCACCCACAGGCTCTCTATGCCCTGGTCTCATCCCAACAGCGAGGCAGAGGAGGGTATTTCTGGTTGATGTCTTCCATTTTCCAGCCGTGCTTATTCCCCCCAAAAGTAAATGTTGCTTCGCGATAGCAGTCGTAAAGGCTGTGGTCTCACTGTAGGCTTCAGTGTCAGCAAACCCCTGCATCATCTGGGGGAGGGCAGCAGCGTGGAGGACAAAAGTGGCACTGTCTGGGGGAGCCCGCTGCCTCCGGTGACCCCTTCCCTGCGGGAGGCAGCCCTTCCACACAGCCACTTCCCTTTCCCGTCCTCATCAGGCCTCTCAAACTATAAAAGCCCTAATGAAAATGAAACATGCACGTCATATATAACAAGGAGAGGCTCAACTGCTGGTAAAAAAAAAAAAGTGTGAAATTACAGTATCAGTGTGAGAGGGAGAGATATGAGCCCTCATTCCCCAGGAGAGAATTTGAAAGTGTGTAATTTTTTCTGTTCACAAGCAGCATTTAAGGGACAGCTTTTGGAAGCTGAGAGGAAGACCTGGAAGAAAAATAGCACTTACTTACAAGCGGAATGAGTATTTGTGCCCTAAATGTTTGGGACCCTTTTTTGATACATCAGCTTGGTTTGGCATGGGGCCATGTGCGTGCACAGCCCTGGTGAACAGGTACAGCTCCTAATGTGTTCTTCTGTCCACAGCTAATGCTTTATCTAGCCTTTCTGAAGACCAAACAGCAAATCCTTTAGGGATCACCAAAAAAAAAAAAAAAGAAAAAAGAAAAAGAGTAGGGTACAACTTTTTGGCTGGCTTTCCTCTTCACAGAAGAATTTAGCAGTCCTGGGTAAGAAGGAGACTCGCCTGTGTCGGGTCTGGCTGTGGCAGGGGATACTAGCCTCTCGCACTCATGAGAATCTAATTTATTTTTAAAGAGCGCTTTAGTATAGCATAACAATATTACCACACATCTTGCTCAAGCAAAGAATTTTTCCAATCTATATTCAGTGCCAGATAGAGTGACTATAAAATGAGTTACTGTACCTTAAATTTCTGCCTTGGCTATAGTGACAGGAAGCTAATTAGACAAACTGACCATGTCTTCTGGACCCAAATCCACATTACTTTGACACATAAGAATTACCAGCTGCATGAGAGCTCGTGCTTCTGGAGGGAGCTGAACTTAAAGGATGAAATAACAGGTAAAGGAGTGGAGAATGATGGCCACTGTGGGGCCCAAACCAGCAAAGCAGCAGTGTTTAAACTCTCTTCCAGCTAAACTTTAACACCTCAAAATGTGGTCAAAATATGTTAGAAGCATGTCTGAGGCATGAACACTGGGCTCAGACCACATGTAAAACTAAGTTCTAAACACAGTTTGACTTTTCCAGGTTATTCTTAAATTCCAAAGACCAGCATATCGGAGCCAACTGCACACGCTAATCCGGATGGAGCACACCATGCATTTCACAGCCCATGAAGCTCTTGACCTTCTTGACTCTGGCAAGCTTGCTGGGCAGTGATAGACCTGGACCTACTGGGGTTCAGCAGGCCAGGGAACAATCATTTCAAACCTGGGCTTCACTTCAGCCATCAGAAGCAAAACCCTTCAGTCAGGCATGAGTGTTTTCTGATGCCTCTTTTGCAAGCATCTGAGTTTCTGGGAAATTACTCTTAAGAACTACTGTCTTCTTATAGAAAAAAAATCATCTGTCCTGTTCCCACTTCCTTATCAGAATTTGGGCTTCAAATTATGCCCAGATATTATATGGTCCTCTTTTCTGGTATTCCTACCTCTATGTAGTTAGATCCAAACATTTCAGATATCACTAAGTATCAAACAGGGAGAAGGGCAGGGTTAATATCAAATTAATCACAGGTTGAAACAACCTTTCTGAAAGGGATGAGCAAACTTCAAAAAGAACAAACACCCAAAATAATGGCTGCATCCCTATGAGATGTATAGTCCTTCCTTTTTCTTAGGTAGGCTCAGCCAAAAAAAGGGGCACAGCATTCTGAAAGGAGCTGGGCCAAGGGATCTTATTGCTACTATTCTGTGTGTATTTGTATTGCTATAGCACTCAGGGACGTCAAATGGGGATTAGTGTCCCATTGAACTAGGCACTATAAAAACAAACATCACGAAGACAGTTCCCTGTCCCTGAGAGCTAATCTTTGGCCATTTTTCTGCAGCATCTGGCTAGAGCAGGGCATAAGGAAGTGTTTTAGGGTGTACTGCATGGACTGCATTTAACCTCATTTCTATAAGCCTTGTCCTTCCTTAACCTACTGCTCCACTTCTGTTTGGTAACCTAACTCATCACCTCAGTCTAAATGTAGTTTGTGAGCTTCTTGGACAAAAGTCTTTGTGTCATTTCATTTGTTCTGTTTTTTCTTTTCGCGTGGTTTTGAGCCACAAAAAAATAATATACATTACTGAAAACATGAAACAAAATAGCTTCCTTCTCTCTCTAAGAAAAAAATGGATATGATATATTTAAATGTGCATCTTGAAGTGCTATGATTTTGTACCTCTGTAGAGCCTAATGTAATCCTGTGGATCAATGAGCAACACAACTGGTATGGCAATACAAATAAAGAAGTCTGGTCAACATGTATATACATACCAAGTACTTCTCCAGATGATATGCAGACAAAGGAGATATATGTGCAAAATAATTCCCACTGCTTAAATACAAAAAAAGCTGCTGGTATACTGCATTGTGATTGATAAATTGAATTTGCAGGTCCCCATAAAGATAAAGGAATGTGACAAAGTCAGGGCAATACAGTCTTGGCATTTCCAGGACCTGGAACAAAACATGGGCATTCTCCCATCTCTACAGTCATTCCTTCCAGGCCAGCCTCATGTCTGTAGCATCCTCCTCCCCTGCCTGCAGCCACAGCAGCTTCAGTTGCATCAAGAGACCATTTCTTGGCAAAGGAGGGTGTTGGAGCAGTGCCAGTTTCTAACCTATCCTAGGGAAAAGGGACTACCTGGACAGAAGAGTCTATAAGCCAATAGTTAGAGTAGTGCAGTAGGGTCCAACAGCTCTGCCACCACCCATCCATCCCGAATCTTAACAACCCATTCGTGCTCTAGAAGAGGAAAAAAAAAATGTATTTGTTTAAAAGACTGTACTGGAGAACTATAAACAATTCGGGATGTTAGTTTACACAGAGTAGCAAGGGTACAGACAGCGTAATGGTGCAACTCACTCCTGTTTCCTCTCCAGGCCACGTGGATCTGCCCGATTGTCAGCTTCAAACACAGCGACTCTTTCTGCAGGCTTGCAAATCTCAAACTTACTCTGCCCAAAACAGCAGAGTGCATGATAAAGAGTCTCCAAAGAAATTAAGGACTCCCTCAAATATCACCCTGCTTCATTTCACGAGCAGCAGAGAAAGGGGGATCAAAGCTTTTGAAAGCAAATCTGCAAGCAAAAGTGTGCAAAATTTGTGAGCACACGACCTTCCCCGGCCCAGAGTGCCGCACGCTTGGGGAGGCACGGGGCAGCGGGAGCCCCTTCACAGCTCAGCAGTCAAGGCTGAGAGCTATTTGGATTAGATGAGGAATTTCAAGTGGAAACCATCTGAATGTGTGTGTGTGCGCGCCTGTGTCAAGTTGAACTGTGTTTAAAGAAAACAAATGGCTTCTTACAGAACTTCTGCAAGGTCCGGTTCTAAAGGGGGCATAAGTAAGCCCCGTTATTCCTGCCATTGCAAACTTAAATGGGATCGTGTGGGGTTTTTTTCCTGTTCCGAAAGTGAAGAATCAGGAAAAGACCATGACAGCAACAGTATGACTAAATTGGCAAGATATGCTGTAAATAGCTTTGATGCTAAGCAAAAATAAAACAAAAAAAAATCTTATTGCAGCCATTTTAAGATTTCAGCTTCCTTCTTCACCTCTGCCACTAAGCAGGCCTCCTCAACATGTGACAAGAAGAATTCAGAGGGACTCTTGCCAAGTGTTTTCTGACCCAAATCCTAGAGGTATCCTCCATCTGCAGCAACAGACAGCTCGCTGTGGTCTGTCATTACCTTCTGTTTGGTTTTCAACACCAGCTACCCTAGTTAATGAAAGAAGATGCAACCACCGAAGACAATGAACAGACAAATGTTAGCATTTCTGGGAAGCTTTGAGGAAGGCTTCTCTAATCTCAAATAGGCCAGAATACAGAATAATAATGACTGAGGCATGCATATACAAGAGTACTGCTTTAGCGAGCTAGGTAAGCTCAGCTATTAGGAAAACAGGCTGTATAAAGCCTGATGGAGAGGATTTAAGGACAAGAGACGAAAGGCAGAGCTAACTGTTCAGTTTCTGTCACAGCACCACACCTACCTACTCAGCCTCTATCTGCAGGCAATAAATTTCATAGCCTGAAAGCCAGGCAGTCAGAAATATTTTTCCTATAGGACAGAGACAGCTCCACATCCATAATGTTCTTCTACGTAAATGTTTGCATGTGGCCCTTCACATCTAAGGTTTGTAGCAATGCATGGTATTTAGCCAAATGCCATTCCCCTAAAGGGCAGCATATTTTTGTTCTTATAATCTTGCATGGAAATTGAAATGGACATATTTTAACATGGGAAATGTAAACACATTTCCCCTCAGCTAGACACTGCTGAATCACTGTGCTGGTGATGATGGTGGCCTGAGATTTTTCCCTACACATTCCTGACCGAGATTCAGAAACCAACAAGGGAGTAAGTTCACCACAGAAAATTGAATCCCTCAATTTGACCTAGGCACTAGGCTGGGGATTGGGTCTACTTAGCCAGAAAATATAGGCGCCTCATGAGCAAACCTCCGTCATTTTGTTCTTCATCGAGCCTTCCTATTTGATGTAACAAACTCCCATTTACCTACCGCATATACATGCTGTACTTAAAATGCTTGTCTTTGATAAACCATTCTCCCCTTTGAGGATCCATTAGACCCAAAATGAATCGAGCCTAAAAAGCTACTTAAAGCTTTTGGAGAATTCTTTGGATTTCCAGCTTCACATTTCCGTTACTGCGATGTTTGCATTAAGATGCTTGTCTGAGTTCTGCCCTGCAGGATTCGGAAAAAGAAAAATGTTCTTTTTGTACTGAACACAACTGGTCGGTATTTAGCTATTTTTTGTGTATTATGACAGTACCATCTGGCATTCATCTGCCAGGTACCTCAGGAGAATGTCCCCTTCCTACTTGCCTGTATGATGCCGGCCAAAATGATAGAGTACACCAAAGGTTAACTTCCTGTAATATGGTCTCTTGGCTTATCTTGAGTAATACAATAGCTCCTTTATATTCTTAACTTTGCATTTCACATGTTCTGCTGCCTGCCTGGAAAACAGGGTCATAAGAGATTCTTATGGGTCAGACACCTCCTAATGCGAAGCCAGGGATATTGTTAGCAAACTTAGTAACAACAATCTATAAGGCCAGTTGGCGATGCACATACAGAAGTAAATATGAAATAGAAATGGAAATTTGCCCAGTTAGATTTGTTCTGTTCCACCGAAATGCTTTGTACAGTGGAAGCATAAACAAAGCACTGCTCTTAGAAGTCACGGTTCACCTGCTGACTCAAAAACTCATGTCTGTCAACCAGCGTGAGAGAGGCCAAGGGGACTATCTGTTTGGGTTTCTCTTTTGGTCTCAGCCTAATTTATCTTGTCAGTTCCAAGATCTCCATTCCTTTCTTGAAAGGACAATAAAGGAAGTTTGGCTTAGCCATGCCCTCCAATTTGATTATTTTTAAGCAAACAAACAAGAACTTAGCATGGACCAGTTCAGATTGACTAGTTCAGCTGCTGAGTAACATCTTAAAGCTATTTTCATCCTAGTCCTTTCCTCAAACGGCAGTTCCTTCATCGCTTTCAGGATATATACTTTAATACTCCCAACCTGCTTCTTGCAAACAGCCTTTTCAAGAGAAACAAGCCAGTCTTGAGCAATTAAGACCTATAGATCTCCCTTCACTTCCTTCAAAGCCATTGTGGAGGTGCAGCTGAAACCCATTAAATTCAATTGAGCCCAAATGGCCCATAAGTCATATGGAAACTTCCTCTGGGCTTTTAACAAAGAGCCTTGCTTTAAATTCCAAATTACAAACAAATTCAGTCTGTTCAGCTTTCACATAAAACATAAAAATTAAAGAAAACGTACAGAGGAAAAGTTGCATCAAATCACAGGGAGCATTATAAGAAAGTACAACCAGTTACTCTTGTTCTGAAGTTACATTCTCCAGTTAGAAATGTCATATTAAGTCATGGCAATATTTTCTTTAGTCTGGACTAGAAGCATGCTTTATTCAGTGTATCACAAAGTAAAACTGGTGGCATTCACCACCCCATTTTCTCCTCTGACTTTTCTCCACAAAAGCTAAAACTAATATATATTTACATATGTACACACAATATGATGTGTATATAATGTGTATATATGTGTGATTATAATATATCACATATAGCTACCAGCCTAATCTCAGGTTCATATATAATAAATAGATAATAAATATTTATATACTATATATACTTAAACATTAAGTATTCCTTTATTGTGGGTCAGATTTTTATCAAGTTGACAAATATATTAATGTGGCTTTATATTGGAACTCTCAATCTGTCTAAGATTAGGGATCAATATCTGTACTGCAAGATCATAAGTCAGCTAAACACTGAGAAGATCCAGGCAGACATTGAACTTGAAAATTATGCAGTAAAATTGTTCCATAATACATCTTTATTCAGACCCCCCATGGGACTGGCATGCTGTAAAAGCCTTAAAAAAGCCTCTACTTGAGGGTTAATTTCACCCTAAGGGCTCTGAGAATAACTGGAGGCCCAGATCTTTATAACTTTGTATCAATTAATGTTTTTTACATTCTTTTTAATAAGAACTTGATGAAAAATATCCTGCTCTACCTATTCTATTTGGCATCCAAGTAACAAGTCATTAGAAGTATCTGAATCGTTTTTAAAAGTGCTGTGGAGTAATATTTTCTGAAGATAATGGGTCTGAGAGGCAGACACATGCATGTTCCCAAGGCATGTGAAATTGAAACAAAAAGTAGCAGGCATCCTTCATGGCTAATCAGGACCATGCCCAGCACCGCTCCAAGAAGTACGGGCTCGGCGGTTGATCCCTGTCCAGATCCAATGCCTTTGCCATGGTGGGGCAACATCCCTCGGATGCAGAGGGAGCAGGGTACCACCATCTGCTGTCGGACTTTGCAGCACCGCTGTAGGTCTGTCGGGGCGCTGGGACAGCGGGCTATCAAACCACAGCGACTGAGGCACGGACTTTGCCTCCTGCTCACGCCCCTGTGGCAAATGCAGCAAATCCTTTCAGCTGGCTTTGTACAAACGCATTGGCGAGCGCATGGTTTAGATTATTGCCATAAAACAAGCAGCTTTGTTTCTCCCATCCCTACTCCTCCTCCTCTCCCTCCCCCAGCCCCTTCTCCTAACCCTGTGCTCCTGCTGCTCCCTCTGTACCAGCCCTGAGCCACTTCAACTCACTGTACAGGCAGAAGAGCAATTCAGCAAAAGCAAACACTTTAACAGAGCCTCATACAACAAGCAAGAAAGATGACAGTGCAAAGGAGGTAGAACTGTGAAGCCAGGAGCAGAAGGAGGAGAAGCAGGACTGAATTGTGGCAAGAGGGAACGATCTGCTTCATGGACCCACATCCTGAAAAACATCAACTTTGTTGAATTAGCAAAAGGAGAGGACAGCTGAAATGTGTTGTTAGCCTGCATCTAAGCAAAAAGGAAAAAGGAAAAAAAAAAAAAAGAGGTCAGCATAGTATATTAACAGATTGATTCTCACCCCACTCCTTTCTCAACATCTCCAGAAATTCATTGATATTTAGACCTCACTCCTGGGACAGTGATAACAGAAACTACAGAACTTCTAAGACTGTGACTGAGGTCTGGGAACATTAAACAGACAACTAATTTCAGAATCGTGAATGAAGTAACACTTACCGGGAAAGTTTTAGTGGGGGGGGGACCCAACAAAAACCTAGAAAGACAAAAAGATGCTGAAATACCAGTTTGGAAGAAGTATGTTCTCTGGTTTGTTTGGTT